TAACTGGACAAGAGTGCCTTGAAATTATTTTGGAAACTGCGTGTGTGTGTGTGTGTGTGTGTGTGTGTGATGGAAATTTCTCTGGAGGGCAGTTTCTTAGCTTTCATCAGGTTTCAGAGGCATCCAGGGCCTCTCAAAATTAAGTGTCTGTTGGAAAAGGTGCCCAGTCCCACTGCACCTCATGAACTGGCTGAAGGCTTTGTAGTTGGTGAGTGTGTGGTAATCCTCCTCGGAGAACACATGCTCCACATCCTCCAGGCCCCAGGTCAGAAGCAAAGTTGCGGATGACTTCTGTTCCACCTGCTGAGTGGGGTTTTGGTGAGGTGAGTGCTCCTGGCAACCCCACATGCCTCAATACCTACCCACCAGCTTCTGGCTCCCTCTCTAGTCCAGTCCCTATCCCTTACAAACTTCACCCAAGGCTTTTCTCCTCCTCTCTAATGCTGATTCCTCACCCTCACTCTCTAGTTCTACTTACCTTTTGCCCACCATCTCCCTCCCCCTTTTTTCTCCGCTTTGTCTTCTTCTCCTTTTTTTCTCGGTGCTTCCGTCTTCGTTTCCGACCTGGTCCAGTTCCATATTCACTGCCTCCGCTCTCTGACTTTTCCCGGTACTCATCTCGCTCTGAGCCAAATTCTTCCTCACTGTCCTAAAGAAGAGAAATTTTAAAAAAATTCATCCTTGCCATGTACCAGGAACTGTTCTTGGCACGTAACATGTTTTATCTCTTTGCATCTTCATGACAATCCTATGAGATAACAACTCAATTGTTTATCCATTTTTTTGTGGGTTGTTTTGTTGTTTGAGACAGAATCCTGCTATGTAGTTCAGGCTGGTTCTGAACTCACTATGTAGTAAAGGCTGGCCTCCAACTCACGGTGATCCTCTTGCCTCAAACTCCCAAGTGCTGGGACTACAGGCCTGTGCCACCACACCCAGCATGTTCATCCATTTTTTTTTTTCCTTGGTACCAGGGATCGAACTCAGGACCTTCGGATTACAAGGCAGGCATGCGTGTGTGGCACTACTGAACTAAATCCCTGGCCCTATCAATTCTTTTTTTTTTTTTGTACCAGGGATTGAACTCGGAACCTTTCACACTTGCAAGGCAGGTGCCAGAACCACTGAGCTAAATCCCTGGCCCTCAATTCTTAAAGGTAAGAAAACAGGCACAGAGAGCTAAATAAATTGCCCAGGAAGACACAGAACTGCTAGCTCCTAATTCATGTAGTCTTCCTCCAAGCCTGTGATTTCAACTGGTTCTCCCTGACACTAGGGCAAGTAACATTGACAACTGGACTCTTTACCTGGTTATAGAATGAGAGGTTAGGGCCCCAGAGCCATGAGATATAGAGAAGTGGAGGGGGGGACCAAACCTTCCTGACTTCAGGACACCTCCCATCCAGGTAACAAGAGGCAGAGAAAATGTTGGTCCCTAGTATGGGTCTCCTGAGCCTTGCCACAGAGTTCAGAATTCTTGACACTCACAAGTTTCTTGCGTTTCCTTGGTTTGCCTGGCTTGTTCTCCTTCTGTTTCTTGGGTCCTCGCTTTCTTTTCTTCACACCTAATGCTGAAGGCAGCAGCCGAATGTCATCCTTATCTTTGAAGCAGAGAACATAGAAAAACTTAAGCCTCTAGGTTCCCAGTCTCAGAGGCCCTTTCAGCACCTTCTGCCCTACTGCCTTAGTCACACACTCTAGGAACCCAGGCACTAACTTGTCCAAACCTTGCTGACCTTCATGGGCCACGGCAGAGTATTTCAGTGGAGTATTTCGAGTACTCTGGGATGCTCTTGATTCTGAATGAGAGAGGTCAGGGGTCAGGAGGGAAGAGCAGCCAAAACCACTCCCTTCTCTCCCCTTCTACTAACAAGGGACCAGGCTCTAGGCCATGGGCTCTGACTGTGGCAGGTCCTTTCACTTGCCGCCAGGGCTCCTCCTGCCTTCCCTCTCATTTTGCCAGCTGGCATCCTGCCCAGGAACTGGGGAAGCCATGCCCAGCTGCTGGCCTGGCCTGACCCCAGCACTTGGAGTGGGGAGACACAAGCTGGCAGCTCCCTAAGCCAGATGCTGAGAAGGGAGAGCCAAAGGTGGACACCTGGGTTTTCACACTAACACCCTGGGGCCCTGACATCTTCTTTGCCAAGAGGAAGGCTTCTATTTACATTTCCTCAGATAATCACCAGCATCCCCATCATCCCAACACACTCCTAGGGGGAAAAAATCCTCAGTTGTTCATTTTCACTTCTTGCCCACAGGATCACAGTGCTGCCTATGAGGCAGTCTGCCCATGAGATAGTCTCCACAGTCCTTTTCCCTACTGGCCTGGATTGTGCCTCCAAATCTATTCCCATAACCCCTGGTTTCAACCTTCACCTCCATAGTTTGTCTCAGGCAAAACAGCGCCCCCCCATTCCTACAGGAGACCAAACAAAACAAAGATATAGGCACAGACAACAACCCCCCTCCCATGTGATTCTTAAATGCCTGTGTGCATGCACTCAGGCACTCAGGAGGAGTACAAATCCAGAGCATGGCCTGTACCTGGCTGTCTCCTCAGAAGGCTCTGTCAGAGGGCCCAGAGCCAGTTCTTCCCCGATGGCCCCCATCCTATTCTCCCAGACCCCTGCCAGACTGTTGAGGCCTGGGGGCTGGACAGTTACTTTCTCATAGAGGAAGAGACTATGCCACACAGACATGGGGCCTTGACACCCTCCACACACATACCCCCACCAAACACTAGACTAACCAGCCAGACTTGTCTTGTTCAGGCAGAGGCAGCGGTAGCAGGAGGGGAAAGCCTGGGCTGGGCTTGGCCCGACCTCTTGCTCTAGGACACACAATCCTTCCCTCATCAGGCAAGGGAAAAAGAACACCAGAGTCCTCAGTTTCCATTGCCTCAAACTCCAGACCCCTCCTTCCTTCAATGCTATCTTCCCTCTTATTTTTTGGTACCAGAGATCGAACTCGGGACCTTGTGCTTGCAAGGCAGGCAGTGGAACCACTGAGCTAAATCCCCAGCCCACTATCTTTCTTCTTAATTCCAGCATTCTGTGGCCCCTGCTCGGAAAGACACTGTAGACTCGGGTGTGGGTGTGGAAGGGGTCTGCCTGCCCAGAGCCGGGTGTGAAAACGGAGCTGGGTCTCTAGTAGAAAGTCAGGAAGACCCCAGGCACCTCTTAACCCCAGGGACTTGGGTTAACACGAACATAGAATCGGACGCCGCCAGGGCAGCAGCAAGGGCAGGCCAACTGGCTGAAGATCAGGGAAGTGGCCTGGGTCACCCCCAGCCAGGGGTGAGGGCCTGTCAACTCCACAACACCCCGCCCAGCAGGAGGTTCCCCAACAAGGGCCGGCATGGACACTGGTGGCGGGGAGAGGCAAAGGAGAACAGCGAGGAAAGGCAAGGGAGGGTAATAAAGCAAATCTAAGTCCCAACCTCTGTCTCAGCAGCCACTCAATGCTGGCCCGAAGCCCAGACTCTCCCACATCCCGGCTCAGATCTCTGGAAGGCGGGGAGAGAGAAGGCGGAGCCTGACAGTCCAAACCGGCGGGCGGAGCCTAGGCCCAAGCCTCGCCTCCTGACCGCCCCTCGCTCCTTCTAATCTCACCATCAATCTCTCACACATATATTTATTTTTTCTCAAATTCCCCTCCCTCCCCCACAACGAACCTCCATAATAGGTCTGCTGCACATGCGTAGTGCACGCAGGGGGTGGGTTTGTATTTTCAGACCTTTTGCAAAGAAACTACCAGAATCTTCCGCACCACCCACAATCATTCCCCACCCCCACCCCAAGGAATCACATCTATATATTATGTTATATTATTTCTCTAGACTTGCCAGAAGGGGGAGGGAGAAGAAGTGAGTTGTTTTTTTTTGGCTTCCTGCTCCCTTCCCCCACCAACACGAGTGCTATTATTTTAAACGTTTGACAATGTAAGGAGACTGGAGAGAGGGGGAAGGGATAAAATTGGTCTTGGGTAAGAATGTAAAACAAAATGGTGAGAATCAAAGCAGCCAGACTTAAAAACAATGGAAAGCTCTCGTGTACAAATTCACATTCAAGAAAAGGATGAGAGAGGGCAGCCTGAACAGATTCCGCAGAGGAACCTTATATTCCCCACACTTAGGCAGACAGAGATAATGAACTGGCTAAAAATATTTCCCTGGGCCGGGGATTTAGCTCAGTGGTTCCATCACCTGCCTCGCAAGAGCAATATCCCCAGTTCGATCCCCGGTACCAAAAGAAAAAATATTTTCCCAAAGTTTTACCTAAGAAAGTCATCTAAGGGGGTGTATCACTCATTTGACTTAGAGGGCTGAAAGGGAGACAGCCTTGCCCAGGGAGACAGGGGAGGTGGGATTTCATTTCCAATATAAAAATAAGGCGTTTGATGTTTCTTCTCATGGACTCAGAAAGCAAAGAGAAAAGAGGAGGGAGTACGACACAAAGACCCATCTGAACCTTAGATTCTTTCATGCTCCTCTGTCTTACATATCCAGGGTCAAAAACACAAATAACAGATTCCAAGTTCGAATACAAATAGTTGAGAGCTGCCAGTTCCTTAGCTCACCTGACATCCTTTCTTTCCCTCGTTTTAGCACCTTGCTGTAGGCCACCCTACCAGCAACCCTCTCCCCATGATTCTTTCTTTTCCCTCCTGCGAAATCTGCCGGCTCTCTGGGATAACTTTTTCAAAACTTTATTTTTCCAGACAAGTTCGGGGGCAGTGGAAGACTTAAACACAGTCTCCATTAAACACATACCCCACCCCAAGAAAGCAACCCCCACTTGCTCCTCAAAGACTGTCTCAACTAGACAGGAATTATGGTGCCACATAAGCCACAGAGATCAATACGACAGTTTTACAAAGATCAGAATGGACGTTACTACGTTTGTTGCATCTGTGCTGGTCAGCCGCCAGAGGCTGGGGGTGTGGATGTCCCCAGCCAGGGGATGCAGACACTGGACACCAAAAAGCTCACCTATCCTAAGGACTGGAGATCCCTCCAGGAGGAGAGTGGTCTGAGGGGAACCACTGCTGGGCGCCTGGTGCCGGGCAGCAGTCGGTACCCCACTACCTGAGAGCGCTGTCCCAGAGTGCAGGGTGACTTCTTATTCTGGGGGAGGGGTGCTGAGTGATGGTCAAGCTGAAGAGTAGCTGGGTGAGCAGTTCACGCCCCCCAACGTGATCAGAATGTGGGTGGACTCAGCGATTGAGTGACAGTGAATGACAGCCACGCGAGTCACAGCAGGGCAGTTCGGCCACCCCAAACAGACGGGGTCATGAAGGGGGAGGGGGCCGCACTTGACACAAAAGAGCCAGGAGCAGAGTAGAGATGAAGGGAGTGGAGCTGGGTGCATCTAGCTCCCCAGATACTCGCTGCTCATCCCCTAATCTTAAGTGATTCGCGGTCCTACAGCCGGCTGAGGGGTAGGCTCAAGTCTTACTACAGGAAGTGGTCTGCGTAAAGTGTGGCCACCACCTGCCCCTACTCATCGGCCGCCCACAAACATTCACACACACACACACCCCCGCCCAGTGCCACCACATGCCCGAGTTGGCGGGCACAGAAATCACCGCAGGTGGAGGGGGGAGTGGACACTGTCCCTACCCAGCTTGTCCAAGTCCCCAACGGAGGGGGGCCAGGACTGCGGACTACTGCACACACGGAAACCGACTTTGCCCTGGCGCAACCCCAACTTGACCATAGCTGGAGGGGCGCTCGCGCGACTGCCCTTCCCCCACGCGCCCCTCCCCCATGCCTCCGTCCGGCCGCCAGGGTCTCGGCGGTCCCTCGCTTGGCCAGGGAGGGGGCCCTGGTTTCGCCTCCGCCGTTTCCTGCCTACCCCCTCCCCGTCGAGGGTTAAAAAAAAAATCTCCTCCTCTTGCTCCCCTGAAAGCCGCGACCGAGTGGCCCGGTCCGCGCGCACAGCTCGCGCCCAGCGCTCTTCAGCCCGGGCGACGGCGGCGGGGGAGGGGAGCGGCGGGGGAGGGGAGGAGGCCTGGCCCCGCGGCCGCCGCCGCCCGGACCGCGGGGACAGCCCGGACCGCCGCGGGGCGCCCAGCTTGAGACGGCGCCCGCGCCTGCTTTAGATTTGCCGCGGCTCGGCCGCGCGGTGGGTGCCTGGCACCCACCGGCTTCGCGCGCCCGCGGCTCCCACTCGGGGTGGGGGGGAGTCGTGCTGCCGCTTACCTGGCGGCGGGGGCGGCGGCGGCGGCGGCGGCGGGGGCGGCGGCGGCGGCGGGAAGAGGTGGCAGCCAGGGGGGCTGTGGCGGTCGCGGCCCCGGTCATGGCCCGGCCTGCGCCCGAGTACTCCCTCGTCGTCCTCCTCCTCATCGTCCTCATCGGCCGCCTCCACCTCCTCCTCCTCCTCGTCGCCCTCTTCTTCCTCCTCTTCTTCCTCCTCCGACACCACCATCTCCTCCTCCTCCTCCTCCTC